TTTCTGATTAGAGATATAAAGGCCTGAGAGAAATTTTTAATTTTTTGTTCTGATATATGAAGTGTTTGTTTATTACTTTCAGTGCATAATCTGCCTTTAGTTACAGTCTACTCTATTTCAATTATTTGTAATTACTATTTTGCTCCGTATGATAAATTTTTTATGAATTGTGTTTAAATTTAAGTTAAATGCATAATAAGTAAAATGTTTTAAAATTTATATTGGTGGGTGTGACCTGCTGCATTGTGATGGCTCACACCTACTTTGTTTTTTCGTTTCAAATCAGGGAATTGAGAAAAAGCCTATTGAGTAGTTGATTATTCAGGATCTTATATGTTTGAGCCTATATAGGCATCTTTTTTATTTTTGTACAATCATGATTTGTTGTCAAATCGTTATGTTTCTGTCTGTAGCCATAAAGAATAGCTCATTCCATTCCTTGCAAAATAATATATATATGTATTTACTAATATTTAAACTTAAGTATTAAGTATTTTAATAACAGTTAATGAAAAGTTAATTAATTTTATATTATTGTAGCTACATCCACCTACCTATGCATGCATAGGGCGGATTAGAGTGTTGTAATCAACGTCTGGGATGGATGAAAAGCTGTAGTGGAACGTCCATCAGCATATTATATCAATATATAATTAAGTTAAAGTAAGCAATAGCCTATTCCATTTCTCCTCCCACCCTTCACTTGTTCTTTGGAGTTTGAACAACAGGTCGCGAGCACTGAGGCCGTGCGGGTTGCTGGCTGGAGCTTGCTGCGGGCTACTGGGAGAAATTCAGAAATCTGGCATTTGTCGAAATCAGATAAGGAAATAAGAGAAGGAAGAGGGGAGAGAGGAAGGGGGAGGAAATTTGGGTTGAATGAGAAGAAACTTTTTTTGAGGTAAAATTTTATATTCCTTTTTGGTTGATTTCAAAAAAGAATAAGTTGGAATGTATTTTTGAAAGGCAAATATGTATCCTTTAAGTTGTATACAAGAGGAAAAGAGGTCGGGTATTGTAGGAGAACAAATTCATTTGACTACCCTACAGAATGAGGTGAAATATCCATTATGTAGTATAGGAAATGATGACATGTATATATCATTGTAATAATCTATTTATGAAATTGTGGTAGCATTGTTCCTATATTAATCATGTTATTTATTTACTGGTACACTTGAGTTCCACCTTTGTTTAGTTGAGTTTACTGGATATACTAATGCATGTTATAAAAATGTGAAGCTTAATAAAAGGTAATTGTGAAAAGTCATATTATGGGGGATAGACTCATATAAGTAAAGATGAAAGACCTAATAAGGTAAGCCTTGTGGACCGTACAAAAATGTACCTGACTCTATCTTCTAAAAAGTTTAAAATTCGAATTCAACCTTGAAGGGATGAGCAATAAGTGTGCAAAAGTCTATAATCATTATATGACTTGTTTAAAATATTGAAAAAATAAACATATCATGAAATATAGGGAAAGTTAAATAATACATATTGTGATTGACATTGTTATGCATTGATTATTTATACATTTTATGATTCTTATAAAAATTTAGTTATCATTTAGAATTGAATGCAAATTATAGTTGATTATTTCTTGTACTAGGATTGAGTATTTCATTGAGCTTTTAGCTCAGTAGCAGTGGTTGTAATACAGGAAAATGGAATAAGCCAGCGGGACTCTAGGCAGGAGGGTGACTGCATTTTTGTGTACATATGTTTTTGATTTGCATAGAAATAAGAGTGGGAAGCTGTTCAATAAGACTTTTGGGTATACAAAATTTATTTGAATTTAGTAAGATCTGTTTTTTATTTGATGCATTTCGAATATGTTTTCAATTATAAAATATTGAGATAGAGTCTTTAGACTTGAAAAACATGAGGTGTTGGGATAGTCTAGATAGGTTGTTTGCTATTCACTTGATCTTTATAGAATTAAGTCGGGGTTCTTGTTAGTAAGAAATATATCAACTATCTATTCAGATTCTTTTTATTTGTTACACTCTAGGTTAATTGAAGGGGGTTAAAATGGGGTGTAACAATTTCGGCTGAGACGGGGATTTAAAAATTCAATTTGATTATATAATAATAATAATAATAATAATAATAATAAAATAATTAAAAAGGGTGCGTTTTTATTCTAGCAAAATTACTTGCCTCTTGCATGCCTCGTAATGTGTTCACCTCACACAGTAGCTAATTTTGTACTTCGCCATCACGGCAACCCATGCATTATGGGTGTTTTTTAAAGTTATTTTGATGTTTCAGACACATCGACATAGTTTGTTTTGCGAACATACAACGTTTGAATGATGTTTGTGCTACTTCGTATTTGTTATCTGTCATTTTCATTGTGTTTGATTGAAGCAAGATCATGAGGTGCTTTCTATGGAATTTTCAATGCTCAAGACGCATTGACGATGTCTGTTTTGCGAGCGGGTGACATTTGGGTAGTTTCGGCCATGGTCTATACATTTTGAACTTATTTCATGTGATGTCGTGTCAGTTGGTCGCCACTTTTGTTACCTAGCTATGCTTGCTTGAATCAATCGTGAAGCACATGCGGAGGTTAAAACTCATATAATGAGGGGGACAAATATGAATTTTTCAGAACTTGTTGGAAACTTTAGCTGTTTATTATTATAGTTTAACAATATTGGGTATTCCATGTTCAACTACTTCTATCCTCATTGCAAATCTTGTTAAGGTTAGTTGGTTTTGGCATTGCATAGTTGTTCACAATTTTATGATGTACAGCATTTAGATATTCGGGTATTAAATATGTAAAGTGCCTTATAATGCTAATTAAATTTATTCAATTCATGATGTTGCATGTCTTAAAAGAATCACTTAAAGAGTGATCTATTTATCAGACTATAAAAACTTTGTATCTATTTAGTTAATCACGTAATTGTTAACATTTATTGATTGTATTAGTTTTCTGAATCCTAAAAAAATTATCCTTTAATACTTTATGTTAATGTTAGGGCGTTCCCTGAAAGCGACATGTATGACCTGAATACAATGAGAAATATGTAAGGGTCACTGCACAGGCGCCCGGGTGCAGTGTTAAATAGGCAAGAGTTCCAATATCATGGACGGGTGTAGGCAAAGAAGCTAGTCCATGAAACTAAAATTAGGATAAGATCTTGGAATGTAGGTTCCCGTACAGACAAATTAATGAATTTAGTAGGTATTATGGTTCATTGACATAAATATTCTATGCATTCAAGAAACTAAGCGGGTTGGAGAGAAAGCTAAAAAGATTGATAGTTTAGGATTTAAACTTTGGTATTATGATAGGATTCATACTAGAAATGATGTATATATGATTATAGATCAGCGTTTGAAGGATAATATTGTAAAAATTGATAGAATTGGAGATAGAATTATAGCAATGAAAATTATTATTGATGTTAAGATTATTAGTATTATAAGTACTTGTGCACTTCAAGTAGATTTGGATATGTGTTTAAAATTAACATTTTGGAATAACTTAACAAAATCAATACAAAAAATACCTCTTGAACAAAGAGTTTTTATTGGAGGAGATTTAAATGGACATGTTGGTAGAAAGGTAGATGATTTTAAAAGCATATATGGTGGTTATGGGTTTGGAGCGACCAATAAAGGTGGTAAAATAATATTAGATTTTATTTAACTTATGATTTTATAATTGCTAATACCTTTTTTAAGAAAAGAGACGAGCATCCGATCACCTATAAGAATGGATATAATAAAACTCAGATTGATGATTTTTCGATTGCAAAGATTATAAAGTTATTTTGAGTGAAAGTTTATGTACCCAACATCGCTTATTAGTTTTGCACTTTAAGATGAAGGGGAAAAATATAAAAAATAAAGTAAAACGTTGTTCTAAGATTAGATGGGGGCATTCAAATAATACAAACAAAATATTTTTAAATGTAAGATTCGAGATCTTAAGTTTTTGTCTGTGCATGAGGAAGCTAATGTTATGTCAGAAAAAATAGCTAGTAATATTAAGAATGTTGCAAAGGATATACTTGGAATATCAAAAAGAAAAACTCAAAATAGTTAAAATAGTTGGTGGTGAAATAAAAAAATGTAAGAAAAGATAAAAAATAAGAGAAAATTCTATAAGATGGTGGTGATAACTGCAATGCTTTATGGCACAGAATGTTGGCCATTGAAAGAGAAACATAATATTAAGTGTTGCAGAATTGAGGATGCTTAGGTGGATGAGTGGATATACTTTAGAGACAAGGTACGAAATGAGCATATATGTGAAAAGGTTGGAGTAGCTCTAGTGGCAGATAATATTAGAGAGAGTTGCCTTAGATGACTTGGTCACATAAAACTGCGGCCTTCCAATGACCCGGTTAGGAGACTAGATGTATTAGATTTGGCTTATCTTAAGAAAGGTAGAGGTAGACCTAAAAAGACTTTGTTAGAAAATATTAGAAATTACCTTTTTTTTATTAGATTTAAATGAGAATTTGACTCTTAACAGGATACAATGGAGAAGAAGGATTCATGTAGCCGACCCACATATGGGATAAAGGCTAGCTGTTGTTGTAGGCTTCTAGAGATATCAAGTGATGGATGCCATTAATAGCACACTAAGTTGTAAAATTTTAGAATTCTGTTGGTCTATTATTGTAACACTTAAGAATCGCTCCAGTTCTACTAATTAAGCGTGGACCTGACAAAATACAGGGATCTGATACGAAGGCAACATGGGGACATGGCAACTCTTTAATAAGTAGAACTTGAATGATTTATAATAGGATGGAGTTGGATGTTGTTGATGATAGCTTCAATTGAAGTCTTGAAGTTTCCGTAGTTGTAAACTATATGAAAAAAGAATCCTAATCAGTCCTGGTCTATTTTGTTAAGTTATTTAATGTTCTTATTTATATATATAAATGCTTATTTTCCTTCTTTCCCAGAGTAGTTACCCTTCCTATTTACATTTCTTTATACCCGTAATTCACACCTCTTGTTGTATTTTGTAGGAAAAAGAAAGGTTGAAGTTTGTCCACTGAGGGCTAACTTATGGGATTCAATCCGATCTGGGTAACTGAAAAATGTACTTTCACAATTTAATTACCGAAGATATTCAATGATTGGATAAGATCATCAATTCCTTTTTTAGCACTTGACCTTGCCTATAATTATTTGTTCGTTGTGAAGTTGTTTTTGGCAGAATCTGCATTAATCTTTTACCATAAAAGTATCTGATGTTCTACATCTGATGATGTCTTTTAGCATTCGAAGATCATTATTTTGACTTTTTTTCCAGAAATTTGGGGGACATATGTTTAAGTTCAATTGCAATTTTAAGATAAAATTAAAGTAAAATAATATTCTTTATGAGGAAATTTTTTTTTCACATTACTTAAAACTTTTTTGTAACATAATTAGAGTTTATATTCTTTCGTGGTACATTTCACAACTCGCCAGCCAACCTTATAATATCCAAGAATAGACAAACTCCTTACTAAATCAGGTTTGTAATGCCATATCAAAACCCATATTCCAACATGCCAGAATCATGCATCTACTAATTCTTTCCTTAAGAATATCGGACTAATAACTTGAAAATCACAAAATCAATGTGTGAGTTTATAAGAATAAACTCATTAGGCAAAACATGTTGTTAAGCAATTACGAGAAATGGGGAATGCTAGATGCTCTATAAAAAGGCACGAATATAGTGACAATCACCTTCTTCTGCTTATCAAATATATTCGTGATTGACTTGCGAGGGGGCTCATCACCGGAAGCCATCTACAAAATAAATAAAAAATGCTTAGTTCTGAAAATAACTAAATATAGGAAATGTTAAAAAAAATTATGCATATAAGAAGACATGTAGAAAACTAACTAATGCAATGTGTAATTGAACATGCATACAAGAAGAATTGTTGAGAACTAAATATAAAAAATGCTGTAAAAAACATGCATATAAGAACAGCAGAAAACTAATTATGGAAATGTTGTAACAAAACATGCATAAAAGAATAACTGTAAAAAACTAATATAGGAACTGTTGATTACTAAATATATTCACCTTTCCATTACTGCTCGTCAACGTTTTAAAAGACGAAATCAGGAATTGAGGTGTTTTGGCTAAGCGAGGCGAGGCGTAAGCCTAAAAAATGATAAAAATAAAGTAATTAACAGTGCCGAGCATGTACCGCTAGGTACCGAGTGGTACTGGCTCGGAACTGAGTGGTACTGGCTCGGTACCGAGCATGTTCTGAGCAATATCGAGCATGTACCTAGTGGTACTGGCTTGGTACCGAGCGTGTACCTAGTGGTACCGAGCATGTATCGCTCAGTACCGAGCATATACTTGCTCAGTACCGAGCAGTACTGGCTCGGTACCGAGCATGTACTGAGCGGTATAAGCTACTCAATAATTATTATTAATACTATTAATTATATATTTAATAATATATATTTTAATTTATATTAACTAGGCTAATTATATTAATATTTAATTAATATTTATATTACTAATTAGTCAATTAATTTATGCACTAATTATACTATTAAGTATTTAATTAATTTGCTTAATTATTAATATTTAAATCATATTTATTAAGTTAATCAATAATAACTTAGCTGCGTCTAGGGTTTGCCTTTCATCTTCTCTTTTCGTCCTTGTTGTTCGGCTTCGTTGCTTCATAGGAGGTGTAGAGATTACACGCGTCGCTTCTTTTGCTCCTTTGTGGCTGTTCGACTGCGCTCCTTCGACGACTTTCCCTTCCTGTCGGATCATAAGTTACGACATTTTGATAAGTAGAAACAACGGGAGCTCGTTGGCTCACTGGCTTTGAAGGTAACTTTCTCCCTTTCGAGGCGCTGCCTCGATGCGCCTCGGCGTCTCATGTATTGAGGCGTACGCCTCCGTGGAAAAAGGCGTAAGCCTCGCCCGGACGTTCGAGGCTTAAGCCTCAGTTCGCCCAACCTCCGACTCGATTCGAGGCTCGCCTCGAGGCGTCCGCCTCGAACGCCTTTTTAATCGATGCTGCTCGTTACTTGATTGTCTTCCATCGGACCACGCCACATCCTCACCAACAACTTTGTTGTCACTATTTTCCTCAATATCAATGTCTACATTCTCTAATTGTAACTTACTCCCATTTGATACAACTTAATTATCAACATCGTTAGTAGACTCCTTAAAGTTTGACATATATTCCTGTTGATGTGTTGCTAGTAATGTTGTTCAACTCTCAATAATCCCACTGGGTTTTGTCTTGATTACTACTAGACAATCTTGTTTAGCCTGCTCTTTACTTGGGTAGCTAGCAAAGTATACTTGACTTGCCACGCGAACAATGACATGGATTATGCTTTGCGTATCTCCTACCTCATTTTACTAATGTAATACCATATAGTGGATGTACTATTGTACATTTGTTCTGATTAATTTCAAACAACTCACAATTAAAGTGGTATAAGTTATTCTTTCACCCGCATATTGTAATTGTAAGACCCCGTAGTGTTCACACTTGTCACCTATATGGTTATTCCCTCTAATGGAGACACCATAATTTTCTATCTTCTTACCTTCACACCAAGATTTAATATGAAATATGTATTCATTTACAACAAAAAATTGGCCATTATTTGACTATTCTCGTTAGTCCCCAAGCTAGATCCATTAATTTTTGATCTTGAACATTACTACCTTGAGTGTGAACCTGAATAGGGCAATAAGTAGAACTCTCTAATTAAAATGTTTAATAGATTCCTTCCTTTTGACAAATGATTACAAAGTGAATGTTAACATATGCACCAAAGACTTGAACCAATTTGAGAAGTCAGCTTCGATTTCTTTTTAACTTCTGATGTTGAAGATGTAGTTAAAGTATTAATGAATTTCCTACAAATTGTGTATATTAGCCATCAATGTACTGTAATACGAATGAAAGATTTAAATTACTTACTTGAGATATGGCTCAACTTTTTGACAATTAATTAGGGTGTACAATATAGCTACTCTAATCTTCCTATCGTTCAAATAACATAAGGTGCAAACTCTTGCTGGCTCACCCCATGCGTTAAATACAAATATAGTTGAATGAACATTATTGGGTATATCCATATTTTTGAGGTACCTTCAGCTTTGATGATTATACATGTGGGTCGAAGTAGTAGGAGCAAAATTGGGTTGTCTCGTATGTTAGATATGCTTAACATATCGATTATTCAAAACATGCTTATTCTTAAATGTCTTTTTCAATTTGTTTATATACCTGCATAACATGCGTGTTTTTTATGATTTTTTTATACTTCGAAAATCTTAAAAAAAATAGTCAAAAGGAAGGCTATCTCTCAAATGAATACATTCACCGATATTGAACTTGTTTATCAACTTTGACCTCGTATGATAAATGCACATTCAGATGCTCCATGGAGTCAAAACATCCGAGAGAAAATATCTTCTTAGGTTTACATAAAATGAAGGAGATATTATGCTTACTAAGAACTAAGGCTTCTTCATTCAGTCTGGATGAGCATAAGTTTTTAAAAAAGTACTTAGTTCGATTAAAGGATTTAAAACTTAATCCGGCAAGTAACTGAAGGTAGTAGGCATAAGAAATTCTATGAAGATGTAACAATCATGACTTTTCAATCGAAATAATTTCCCCAATTTCATGCCAACATATCTACTGAGGTTGTAAGCTGTTGACCTCTAACCAACCACAGCCAAATCAACCCGCAAACCGTCTACCCACAACCCCATGTCACCCGTAACTCCCTCACATTCTTGACTCCTCAAAATCGAAGACATTGTTCATTTAGAGATACGCACATAGAAGGAACTCTGACCAACGATTCTCTCGACTCTCCTTACCCTCTCTGTTGTACGTGACTCCACGAGCCTAGCCGAATAGAACTCTGGCAGCCTCCTCGAGCCTAGCAACCCGAGCTCGAGTGCACAACTCCCCCGTTGAACTCCGATTCCTGTGTCTCCTGTGAGTAAAACTAGGCCCAAGCAGCCCCTTTCTGCCTCTGACTTCCCTTACATGAACGGCTCTAGGTTGTTTGGCCTTGATTCGTCCAGGCCTGACGCCTCTGTTTAGGCGTGAGACCAGCTGCCTAGCTTGCCTTCCAACCAAGTATCGTTTATCTGCAATCCGAACCCACACTTACTTTCTAAATTTGAAACATCAAATGTGGAAGGGAAGAATTATTTATGTAATTATTAATAAATAATATATATGTATAGTATAGTATAGTATAGTATAGTATAGTATAGTATAGTATATATATATATATATATATATATATATAAAGAAGTAGAAAGAGGCGTCGCTATCGCTCGGTTGGAAAGTTGAAGACATATTCTGTGGTTGTTTCGGTCCTCCAAAACCTTCAGCCGTCGATTTGATCCGTCCGAGTGGACCAGAAAGGGCAAGTGCCCTCACCAACCTTCCCTCCTGGGGATGGCATCAAAAGGCTGCCGAATACTAGGAAAACATTGAAATACAGCAAGCACACGAGCTATTTCTAATAACTTAATGCACACAACCTCCCAAGGGGAGTTATAAACCCTCTCAAGAGGAGCAACAAATCCTCAAAAAGGGAGTAATCAACCCCATTCCAAATAAATTAGGGGAGGCTTCTAATTGAAGCACACGGGCTATTTCTAATAGAGGCAATAAGACTCACTCAAATGCAAAATTACATATTTTCTACTAAAACCCTGCTAACCTAAAGTTCAATCGACAACTTCTAATAGAGGTAGTAAGTCTAACTTTAGCTAATGCGTTAGGGGAAACCTCTAGGTAAAAATAGCCTAATCCTAAATCCCTGATAACCCATGCCACCTCTAATATAAGCTGTAAGTTCCACTTTAATCAGGGTGTTAGAGAAAATTTCTTAGAACAAATAACAAATCTCTGATAACTTGGGTCACCTATAATAGAGGCCGTAAGACCCAATATATGGGTCACTTTTAATAAAAGCCGTTAGGCCCACTATATGAGCCACTTCGAAGTGAAGCCGCAAAATCCGTTATATGGGCTACTTTCAAGGGAAGCCATCAAACCTGCTAT